TGGGGGGCGGGGTCAGAGCGACCCGGCACAGCGGCAGGAAGCTCCCGGGAACCCCGGCCTCACGGCACGATTGCACGTTGTGAGATTTTTCCATCTTTACCAATGCGCCTTTTCTGTAAATGATTACTGAGGCACTCTCTAAATCATTCTAGAGTTTTCTCTCTCGCTCTTCTAGAGAAAAAAAAAGTCTCTGGATTATTCCATTTTCTGTCTCTAGACTATTACATTTTTTTGCCTGAATATGGTGAAGCTGACCCTTTTATCCTGCTCTGATGGACAGAATCGTTTATTATTTTGGTACCACCTATTGTAGTTTCATTTCTTCAGGCTCCTCACATTCTTCCCTTTAAAAGCGACTCCTTCCTCTGGAGTTTTGTCTTTGTGCTGGGGAAAATTATTCTTTCTGGGAGCTCTTGCTTTCGTTGTTTCTGTGGAACTGTCCTGCTCTGCCCTCTCCTTCTGAGTTTTCTGGGACAGCTCTTCAAAGTATGGCAAATACTAACAAAACACTTCTTTTTAAAGAAAGATGAGAAATCATTAAAAAAAAGAGAGAAAAGGGGCTGACCCATTTCTTTCTTTGTCTACTTGCTCTGTTTCTCTTCATTGAGAGAGGTGATGAAACAGTTGTGAGCAAAACCATGCAGCTTTTCTTTCCTTACGCTGCTCAAGCTACACGTGTGCCAGGGTGCTGCGCGGGCACGAGCCACGGAGCGGCTCCCATGGCCGGGTAGCCCCGGAGCGGCTCTGCGATGGCCGGTTTGGCTCGCTGGGTTCCCCATGAGGGCAGGACACACAGCTCCATCCCCAGGTCCTCCCTGCCCGGGGCTCCCTCCCACGCTCAGTGCTGCTTCCCGCGTTGTCCTGCTGCGGTGCCAGGCGGGCGGCGCAAAGCTGCGCAGGGCACTTCTTACCTGGAGGCTGGTTGGAGTCCTCATGTTACACTGTGCGGAGGAAGCGCACGTGCCACTTCAGAGCTGGGAAACAAAGACTTTCCTGCTCGCTGGGGCTGTTCTGGAGCGAGGAGCAGTGGCCGGGGATGCTCCTGTCTCCAGTGAGCGGAATGAGAGGTGCTGAAGGCGGCTCTGCGTTTGGCACAGCACATTGGGAGGGAGCGATATCCCTGCCTAAACTGGCACAAGCAAATGACCAACCTGAAAGTTAACCTGTGTGTTCAAAGTGTCCACACTGACCTGATGTTTCAGTGTGGAGCCTGCATAGTTGGAGCAGATGATTTACTGCTCTTCCTCCTTCCCAGGATTAAACGTCAGGATCAGAGTCCTTTGCTCGTATAACACTCTAAAGCACTGTGTAGATTTTCTTATCTGTTGGCATAGAGTGTATTTATAACATATGGTGGAAGTGAAATTGTAAGACTGATAAAAAAGCTTGATTGCTAAGTTAAAATGTAGGTTGCGTGTTGGTGCTGGAGTACGAAGAGCACTCCCAGCGCTCTACGTGCTTGGAGCTGCTTTGCCAGTGGACTGAGTGTTCACTGAGAGGCCCCACAGGATCCCCTCCACCAGGGGCCTTTGCATCAGAAACTGTCTTCTGGGTTCGGTAGAAGTCGCTCTGTTCCTTCTCCCTTCCTTTGCCTTGGGGGAGTGTGGACGTGGTCATCTTTGTTTAGCCAAGTGCCAAACAGTTCCCAAGGTGAAAAATAAGGTGCCCTTATCCCCTGGGACACGTGTCCTTGCGGTGGAACAAGGACCCTGTTGCGTGATGAGCCAAGTCAGTGCAGGGAGGAAAAACCGCGTCCTTGTTGGAGCCATCGGCCTCGCTGTCGCCCTGCAGTCAGGGACCCGGCGTGCGCGCTGGCTGACTCAGGCACTGCGGCCTTTCGTGGGGCTGCGAGATGACGGGGTTGTGTTTTCCACTCTGCTGCGCCCTCCTCTGAGTTTCCCTCTTTCTCCAAGGCCACGCGCAGAGGAGCTGGGGCCTCCTGGGAGCCCTGTGCAGCCCTGCTGCCTGCCCAGCCTCCCCGCGCTGCTGCTCTCGGTCTGCCCGTGCGCACGCACGCGCTGAGCAGCCCCGTGTCCAAGATGCGTCACGAAGCCGGGGCAGGCGGCTGGGCCTCTGCGCCGGGCGGCAGCGGGGCCTCAGGTGCCAGGGCTGGGCCAGCTGCCCCAGGGATGGATCCAGCCCTGTCCCATCCGCTCCCCGCGCGGCTCTGAGCTGCAGCCCTGCGCGGGGGACGGGGCGGCTCCGCAGGACAGAGGCTTTGTGGCTCTGCGCCTTAAAGCCACTTTGCTAGTCTGGCATTCTCATTACTTGCCTGTATTTAACTTTCCGGAGCAGCTCAGGCCCTGCAAGAGGAGAGAAACGTCCTTCCCTTGCTGCCCTCAGAGAGAGATGGCTTTTGTCCCCTTCTCACCCACCTTAACCTTGGTCCTTTCTGAAGTGTTTTGCGGTGGCTCCCCGCTCCCTTTCCCTTGCTAGGGGATGGGAGAGGTTCACACAAGTGACTGGGTCCGCTCCCTAAGCTGCGGCACTCAAAGCGCTCCTCTCCTTTTGACAACAAAGCTGTTTATCTGTGGTGAAAGGCACAGCCCACGCGAACTCGCTGCTGTCCTGAAGGTGCCTTGGGTCCCGCAGGAATCG